GTCACTGTCAATTTTCAACATAAGATTTACTGTTTTCTTCATATAGTCATCCTAGGGTTATACCTGCGGAATGATGAGATTACTTGTTTCCTGAAAAAGGGTACAAATTGAATCTAGTGTTGTAACTAGAAATGTTTTCGTCACCAATATATTTCATTCTGTTATTATGTATCATTCACTGCAATCTTTTTACTCCACTTTCTACTTTCAGACAAGAAAGTGAAACTCCCTGTTGCAGCCATTTCATTTCTGTTGATAAAGGGGTTTGTAATTGCCATTGCTGGGACTGTGTTATCTGCACTCTATGTACAACAAGGTGATAATACCATAGATTATTCATTGTAGTCAAGAGTAATCAAAGTAAACGTTGGCTTAACTGTTAATAATATTAGCTGTCACTGTGTTTAAAAATAACTTGAATGCAAGCAGATTACCACAGGTGTCTGCAAAACTCATCTTTAACTAAGTGCACTTTCAAGTCATGTAACATCAATTTTAGTTCTAAAACAAGAGTTCCACGATCTCATACCTTCGCCAAAAGGTGTTAACCCTTCCGGTTGACGAATTATACAATTTTGATAATTGATTTCGCAAATAAGAGCGTCATTTGCATGGATTACATCAGTTGATCATATTCTCCACCCAATGGCAGCCTTATCTTAACAAAATAGGCTATTCTAGCACTTCCTCATAAATTATGCAAATGGGGTCATAATGTAAATAAATTATCTTCATTGATGTTCACCTTCACTTAACTTCCAAATGCGGCAAGTATAAAATTCCCAGCAATTACAACTATGAAATTATAACAATTTCCCATTAATTATGCAAATTAGGTCTTCATTTACATAATCTATATCCTCAGATGTTTTTCTAGTTCTCAATTACATGTCACAAGTGTTTCATAGTACTATTATCGAACGAAGCAGATTTATAGAATTTCCTCATTAATTATGCAAATTAGCTCCTGATTTGCATCTGATTAAGCCAAGCATCACTTCAGCTACCTACATACCAAAAATCACGACAATCCGTCAATCGGTTCTTGAGTTATCCACCTTTGGAGATTTTTCAAGAAACACTCCTGCACTTCCAGAACAAGCCGCTACGGGGCCTAAACTCATGTCACACCTACCTCAAGAGCTATCTACCAATCAAATTTCGTGACCCTAGCATGTCCAGATCGCGAGATATTAAAACCGGAAGTTCTGCTGCAGTACCAGCAAAAGCCGCCAGGGGGCTCAAAATCTAATCATTCCTAGGTCTCATCAAGACCTACCCACATACCAAGTTTCATAACAATCCATACTAAGCTTCTTGAGTTATGCTGTTCACAAACAGACAAACAGACAGACAGACAAACAAACAAACAGACAGACAGACGCTACTGAAAACATAACCTTCTTGGCGAAGGTAATTATCTTTAACCTTTTTAGATGGAACACTGTGCCGTTTTAGTTTGCTATACACAGTATTGTTAGACATTTATGGGAGTCAGTTAGCCATAGTCATGACGTTGCATTTTTCAGGGAATGCGGATTACATTCCTAGCCTTGTCCTCGGAGCGGTCTCTATTGCCCTCTTGGCTGCAGCCTTCATATATTTCATGGTCTGTGTCTACTGTGGAGAGAAACAGAGCAGCCATGGTAAGTCAAATCATAGACCTCTATAAGATGGTTAAGCGTATTTACATTGTTGCAGGATGTATTTATTTTTGCTAATTTCTTTTCGTAGTAAAGATTGAATCGGAAAAAAGATTAGGTAACTTTAATTTCAGTGTGATAAAAATGCCTTTGGTGCACAGTTATTGAGTTTTATTTGTAAAAAAAACAACTTAAAATTTGAATGTAACAGTGGAGCTGTTTAATTGTAAAACATGTGAGAATGTGTGCTAATATTGGTAATTATATAATTATTCATTATAAGTACTATCTAAACGCAAGCGCAAGTTGTTGCTAGTCTTCCAACAGCCCTTTAGTGTACTCTAACAGAGATCTTTATACACATATTGTTGATGCACTTGTGCAAACTACAGTATTGTATGATCCATTCCTTACTCAAGGTTTCATCATTAAACACTTATCTGTCATCCATTTATCCTTTAAGTGTAAAAAGCTTTGTTTTCCCTTGCTTACACTGCAAATGAAGACTTCATCGTGATAAGTCAGAGCTAAGACTTTGATAGGTGGAATTACCAGAGATTACTAATATATTTTAGAAGTTCTTAATCTAATCTTATTCAATTGTAAGGTTCAATTATCGTGTAACTGAAGTCGCGTCACAAAACACACGACACAAGTGGACTTATTTAAAAAGTCTGCTGATTGCATGTATTCATTGATGACTTATCTATTTGGAAAATAGCACCCAGCTCTTGCGCCCTGTCCTCTATAAGCCTTAATTTTGGAAAGAGTGAGGTTTAAAGGTAATTTTGATCTAATCGTTTATTTTCTATCTTTCAGTTTTAAATGGGAATATGCGTGAACACAGGTAGGCATTGATGATGACCATATTTTAAAATTCTTAGTTATTTATTACTGATCTTTTAAAAATTTCTGCTAATCAGTATGAAGGCTTAATAAAACGATTTGAAAATACAAATTTGTACTTGTTGTTGTTGAGTAATTTGATTATGACATGCAAACATCACTGCACATTTTCTGACTTGTCAGCTTAGAATGAATTTACAAATAGTACTATGTGCATTTGAATACTAGTAATCTAGCCAGGCATTTCAACAGCTTTAATGTTAAAAATGGTAAACCATAACGATATACAACAATTATTTTTTACATGTACCTAGTATACGTATCGACTACATTATATTGTATGTGCAGTAGTGTTAAAAGAGAAACAATTATGATCATGTATTTTGTGTGGTTTTCAAATAAACCATGCAGGTCACAACAGAATGTCAAGCTTGAACCACAGTCAACACCTGCTCCCGAACATGTGGAGCCTACCGACAATGAGGTGACAGCTCCAGACACTCTCTCTAACCCAATGCATGGAAATCCCCGCATGCTCCCACCACTACAGCTTGATCCTCTTCCAAAACAAAAGAAAAAAGGAAAGAAAAGGTTGGCCCCTTAACATGTTGCTCGGTGTGCGCTTAGGACTATCAAACATGTAATTTTTTCTTCATCCATATTTGATCATCATCATCATCATTTTCCTTTTCTTGCAAAGGCTTTTTTAATCCTCTTGGCAGTTTTTGACCCTTACCTTAAGTCAATACATACAACAATCAATCTCCTGATCTCATTCTTGAAATGGATGTGAGTGATGACGAGTTCAGATAATGGTAGGTCTTACTACAACCCCTACTGGCTCTACCTAAATGTAAATTATACATATACATGTCCTGTACATATACCACAGCAACACGAATATGGTACAGGAAACTCTATGAAGTTATGTGACTTCATTTGTTCTTTTTTTACTATTCTACAGAAAGAGGAACACATCTGAAAAAGATGCACAAATCCTGAAGAATGCTGATGAACAAGTCTAATATCTTACATCAATTGTCTTCACATCCGCAAGACAATACAATTTCATGTCGTTCGTCCCAGGATCTCTGTAAAATCTCTGTATTTAGGGGCAATTTAGGGATTGTAGAATATGTGTTTCGGCAGCATATTCCTTCTGTGCTGAGTTAGACCATGCATTGACACAAAGCATCAAGTGCTTAGACGACAAGTTTAGAACTGTTGTACTCTTGACTTCATTTGACACAAAATGCGCATACAAACAGACTTGCTCGTATCATGGACTCTTGCATCAGATTTCTAATGTTCAAACTTTGGGAAATTAGTTTATGGAATTAAGCTTGTGTGGTAAAAACTTTAACACTGATTGGTCAAAAAGCTTTTCAATTTTCTTGGTTGTACTTTTAATTGGTTGTAATTGTTATTCTAGAATCTGATTTGGGGAATACTTTGGATTCTAAAACTTTTCGAAATTTTATTATAACTTTGCAATGTTTTATATGTGTCTATCGTCTGAGCATGGCAAATATGGTATACAGCACTATCAGTGAAGTAATTAAAATTGCATTTTTGTAGGATTGTTCCAGAGATTTTGTATATCCTTTCATTTAGATGGAAAGTCAATATTTTGCTGTTTGCATTGTGCTTGTTTTGCATTAAAAGAAGACTCTGTTTCTTAATTGTCTGGATGATTTATTTTTCAGACACTGATATTTTATACCGTAACATAGGGCTGTCGTAACATAGGGCTTGAATCTCCAGCTTTATGGCATGGAAATCAATTATAGTAATAAATATTTGTAGATCGGAGGAAAAGAACAATAATTCGCACATGGGCCCGTAAAACTTATTGGAATAAAGACCTGTGATTGGTCACTTTAGTCTCTTGGATTCTGACTTGGTAACAGGGCGCTATTTTTTTATATTTGTATCTACACCTTGGATATAAAAAAAACAGTATTGAAATGAACTTTCTATAAGTAGCTTATAGAGGTCCCCGCTGGTACTTTTACTTTACTGATGATAAAAAGATGGCTTTAAATGATGTAAAAATTGATATGATGTCATAATGCAGTAAACAGAATTTCTTGTGACAGTTATTTTTCCAGTAACAGTCCAAAATCAATATTCGTAACCTATTAAGTCATACATTGACTCAGTAGAAACACATGCAGCTGCAAATGTGCTGCTTTTCTCTGCTTATGAGAATGTATATTATTCAACTGATGACGACATTGCGACCTTTCTGCTATCGCTAAAACGTATGACTCGAAGAAAAGAATTTAATTTCCATGACAATTGCCAAACCCAAATTCCCAGTTCTTTATGAAGGTGACGCACCTCAGATCAGTACACCGAATCGGAGAGGGCAAATAAACTACCCGGAAGTAAGCTGGGGTCTTTAACAGCGAGTTTTCAGTATAGTGAACCAGCTGAGTTTTGTCCAAACGCAATGAATGTGTATGTTATGCCACAGACACAGATAAAATTTTGCGATATCTACTCGTAATGTGGACATTACTCATCGCTTTGTCAGTCTATCCAGGTAAGACACGTTTGAATATTTACATACTGTTAGGTGTTCAGACTGTACCAATATTTTAGTATTTTCTAACTTACTTCTTTACCTGGGCCTGTTGAGTTCGCTTGGGGTTGCGATAGTCACAAGATAACTTATTTTTAGATCCCTAGCTGAGACATGTTCTAACAGTTCTAAAAGGACATACTTGGCATGTGCAAAGCTGGGGATTCATATCGTCGCACACACAAACACTGGCGGCCCCATCATTTGTCCAGACAATTTTCTAGCATAATATATGCAGCTTACTTCAACAGAAAATTGTCATAAAAAGTGTCATAAGAGATACAGGAAAATAGGAATGGAGTAATAGATCATGGGCCACGCGACAATGGCTGTGTGTACGCTCCGTGTTAATTTTTTTTTACAGTTACTCGTGCCGATGTAACAGTCACAGTAACGGCACCACAGGGAGTTCAAGTTGGTCAGCAGGCCATCATCAGCTGTGTCATTGATCCTGATCAGCAGGCTGCAGTGACCTGGACTAAAGGTGGTCCTCCTGCGGCAGATGGTAGTACAACTGTACTGGTGCATAATCAGGGAATCAGTGATGGCCGTTATAACGAGTACAGCGACAGAGACATCGACATTGAGGGTCGGGCAAGTCTGCGGATACAGACCACCAGACTGAGTGACAGAGGAGAGTTTTTCTGTGCAGTTTTTGTGATCCAAGCAGGACAACCTGTCCAACTGCCTCCACAATCTGCCGTCTTGTCTGTCTCAGGTAAGAAATGGGAGAGAAATAAGTAGCAATCAGACATTCAAAACAAAATTTAAAGATTGATTGGGACTTAGTACCACAATCAGGAGTAAGTTTTCTAAGTCAAGATACAGATATTTTCAGTCCATCAAAGATTGTGCGATCTCATTCCAATTCCAATAGTAATAAGAGTAATACTAAGAGTAATAATGGATCCATAATTATTTTAATCAGGTTTGTAAGTGATTGAATAGTGAAGATCTTTTATTTACAACGTTAACCAGCCCCCACCGGGTCCCCGACCATCTCCCCCCCTGGGACCCCCAGTACGGAGTCCCCCCTGACCCTGACCTGCACCACGGCCGGAGGCTACCCCCCTGCCACCATCAGCTGGTACCGAGGTCAGGAGGACAGGACTGCGGAGGCTGAGCAGCAGACTGACGTGGAACAGTCTGATGGCAGTGTGACGTCATCACGACAGTACATCTTCACTCCGACTAAAGACGACAGCGGCGTGTCCTACAGATGTGTCGTCAGTCAGACTGTGCTGCAGAGTAACCTGGAGGCACAGACCACTTTCAATGTCAGATGTGAGTTTGTATTGTACATATCTGCAGATTGTTTTTACATAAACAAATAGACAATTTACACATCATTGTAGCAAGAAAGTTCAGATTTTACATTATTTCACCTGGAGGCACAGACCACTCTCAATTTCTGCAGATTGTATTTACTTAAAAAATATATTGCACATCATTGTAGCAAGAAAATTCAGATTATGCAATATATATTTTACCTAACATCTTCTATGCTCAGACTTAAGTACCATTCTTCCGCCATCTGACATGATGAATTCTATCACAGACCCAGCAGAAATCAGCCCCACCCCTCCGGCGACCACCACAGTCATAGCCGGCCAGTCTGCCCTTTTCTCCTGCCCTGCTGACGGCAACCCCGACACGTTTATCTTCACCTGGAAGGAGGGAGGGAGGACCATTAACACTGATGCTGAGGACCAGTTCAGTCAGAACGGCGGTGTGCTGACCATCAGTGCTGTACGGAGGAACCAGCATGACACGGTTTTCTTATGTGACGTCACCAACAACATTGGCAGTGCGGACACGGCGTCTACAACACTGGATGTGCAATGTAAGTTTGGCTGATTGTGAGACTATTGCTTTACTACATGATACATTATACACATGAAGTAAGATAAAGTTTCACTTTCCCAGACTTACTTTGATAATATTGCTCCCGCTCAGACCCCCCAGACGTGTCGGCTCCTGTGACTGTGACAGTAGAGGAGAACCATGACCTGGTTGCCGAGTGTACTGTCACGGCTAACCCTGCTGTCACCAGTGTGGAGTGGAAGAAACAGGGCAGCACCTCAGCTGTGTCCAACAGCGCTACGCTGTCCATCACAAGGATCCAGAGGGGGGCAGCTGGTACCTACGTGTGTACAGCACGTAACATGCTGCATGATGACAGCATTGGAACTGGGACAGCGTCGACTGTTGTCATTGTGCAGTGTAAGTCCTTGGTTTCTCCTTTTTAGATTGTGTTATGATTGAAAAATTCTACATCTTTTTGATAAATAGGACATTTCCTTCTAGTTTTACATAATGGTGTTTATGCTGGTCCTCCAGATGCACCGTCCAAACCCAGCCTGACCATCGCCCCCAGCCCAGTAGTGGAGAACCAAACTGTGACCCTGACCTGCCGGTCTACCAGCGCTGTGCCCGACCCAACCTACACGTGGAAGTTCACAGCACAGGGACAGTCTGAACAGGACGTGGACTTTGGGACAACAGCTGACAGCGGAGGGACACTGACCATAACCAATGTCCAGCGTGCACGAGCTGGACAGTACAGATGCACAGCCACTAATGTGGTGGGGTCAACAGACAGTGACGCAACAGAGCTGGTGGTCAACTGTGAGTTCATTTTATTTCTGCATGATTTAATACATTTCTAAAAGGCTCTAGAGAATAATGCTGTTACTGTTTACGTTTATTCATAGGGTGTTACTTTAACGAACATTACAGAAAAAATCAATACATTGATCAATGAAGATACACACATGTATGCACTCTTGAACATTTCCATTTTTTAATGTACAATTTAGGAACTAGTATACTCTCGACCACGTTACAACAGTACAACATGATACGCACTGTTAGTAGAGATTTGACAGAAATGAGTATCTAGTATCATAAAAATCAAAAGCAAAAACATTTAGTTTTGAAGACTCCAAATATCCGACATAACTCCACACTACCAATGGACAGTCCCGCCAGAAGGAGTGAGTATCACACCTGAACCACAAGAAGTGGAACTAGGAGACAACATCACACTCGACTGTTCAGTCACGGCTGCCAACCCAGCAGTTCAAGAGTACTCCTGGTCTAAATCTGTGGGATCCCTGCCTGCTGGTGCCCAGGGTTCAACTACAAACCAGCTGCAGATCACTGGTCTAACAAGACAAGACAGCGGCACCTACATCTGCACAGCCTCAAACGGTCTTTCCTCTTCCGGAAATGCCACATACCCGTTGTTTGTGCAATGTGAGTTTATGGAGTCAGAAAGATTGTACTTTTATATCCTTTTCAATTTTCACTCTCAGATTTTACCATGAACGTATAGTATTGGCATTTTTTTAAAAGAAAAGGAGGTAAATGCATTGGTTTTAAAGTGTAATTTTGGTAATACAATTAGATCTTGATCAGCCCACAATAACATCCAACCCGGGTGGCTCTGGCCAAACTTCTCACACAACCACGGAAGGACAGAGTCTGTCACTAGAGTGCACAGCACAATCCTACCCTAATGCTACTGTCGTGTGGACCAGACCGGACGGTACAACACAGGAGGGCAGTGTTCTGAACCTGGGACAAGTCAACAGGACTGAAGCAGGGACTTACAACTGTACAGCATCAAACACCATCAAAGGGACACAGCGGTCCAACCATGCCAGTCTTGTCATCATTCTCAACTGTGAGCATTTATGGCTTACAACACACACCTTTGCCTTGAATATCTACACGTGTCAACTACTGCACACATCAAGTGAATTTCTGGGTCTTTGCTGCTCGTTGCAGAGTCTAACCTCAGCTGTGACATGAATTTTTATGCTGTCTTTTGCCTACGCCAACATGCCTGCATGTACCTCATTATGTCTGCAGCAGTAAACATTAGATCATGTCAAAAGGCTGTTTTGAGTGAATCCTTGTTCTGTACGGTAACCTTATTGTGAACTTCCATTCTTGCTATAAGACTAATGTTTACTGGTGATTGGGTTCTGCAGTGGGTGTACTGAATATCATCTGTCCCAGATTTTCTAGCTGATGCATGTTGTTAACTTGTTAAAAAGTGAACTTCAAATGTATCCTGGTATGATTGTTGTATATTCTACTTCGTCAATTCTTTATCTCAGTCTTTCTACATATTTTTAAACACCTGAATTTATATTGAACATTTCATGATATATAAACCAGCAGAAAGGGAAATAAAGTGCAATATGGTGCAGGGCCTTCTTTTCCAGGCAAAAGTTAAAGAGGCACGTGTATATGACTTTTAAACTAATCTCTTTTTTATCAAATTGATCAAAGAATGTAACATTTGATGCATTGATGTTAGATTTCCGATAAATCTGGCTGAAGTTTGAAAATCAAGCTTAAGGTTAGCACAACTTAAAAAGCTTAATATGTATCACGCCTGCTAACTTCCACAGATCCACCGTCAGTGGTCAGCTTTAAAGCTGACCCCAACCCAGTAGATGAGAACAGCCCAGTCACCCTGAACTGTACCGTGGACAGCAACCCTGAACCGACTTCTGTCAGCATAGTGAGGGTGGGGGCAGGGTCTGTAGGTTACGTCACACAGGCCACAGGACAGGGCGGAACTTTCTCTCACACCTTACAGACTGTGAGCTACACGGACACAGGAACATACAGATGTCAGGCTGCCAACGGGGTCGGGGAGGCTGCTTCACGGGACCTGGAGCTTTTGGTTAACTGTGAGTATTTTCCTATCCCTTAGACTTAAAGATTGTTTTCCTTTACATAAAGTATCTTTGTTTTAGTGTTATTTACAATTTTCAAACATAAACAATGTATCTAATGTTGAAAAGAAGATGAAAACCTAGATAATGTACATAACTTTGTGAATATTCCCACAGACATCCCTGTGTTTGTTGGAGTTCGAGACAAATACGCCGCTGCAAAAGGCGACCCGGTGACCCTGACATGTAACGTCACAGCCTACCCAACACCTGTGACGTTCAGCTGGACTAAGGACGGTGGGAGTGTTCCAGGCTGGGCTACCATCACAAATTACAGCCTGGGCAGCACACTGAGCTACACAGCAGTGACAAAGACTGACTACGGATTCTACAACTGTACAGCTAGGAACATCATGGGCAGCAATAGTACTGACATTCAGCTGGCAGCTGAAAGTAGGTCTCGTTTAGTCTGCATGTACAATCTGTACATGAGCACATCTCTGTATAAGGAACATCTGAAAATTGCAGTTGTTTAATTAGTACACAATTTGAAAGTCATGTTTTTAACTATAAACAACAATTTATGCAAAGTTCTTTTTAAAGCTTAATATGATATGCAAAATGTAGTTAATTATGTAGCACAGAGAGATCTGTTCCAAATGCAGGCGTCTCTTTTTTACTTATCTACATGTACCTTTTCAAAAATCAATCCTGCTTGTATTTTCCCCAGGTGCCCCTGAGCCCTCAACAGACCTGACAGTGACCATGAAGAACTCCAGCCATTATGTGACTGTAGAGTGGACAGCGGGGTTTAACGGTGGGCGGGACACAACACACACAGTACAGTACAGGACAGACGCAGGGGCGTGGCAAAATGGACCTCAGGAACTAGAATCGGCGAGTGACGACCATCCTCAGTTCAGTGTAACCTTCCAGCTCCCAGAGAAGGAAATATACGACATCCGGGTCAGAGCTACCAATGGGATAGAGCCTACAGCATCTAATGTGCCTTACTCTAATGTGGTGTCTGTGACTATAGAAGGTTTGTCAGTACAGTTACAGTACAATGTACTTTAACAGTCTGTACCAAGTTGTGTGTCATGTGTTCTTTTATTACTTTTTATGATCATTTATTCTCACAACGTTTGATTAAACTATAACCAAAGTTTACTAATTCCAGATGCAAAGATCTTATTTGGGTCCCTCCCCCTCACAAGTGAGACGTTCAGCGATGAGCTGAAGAATCTTCAGTCAACATCTGCAGTCCGGCTGACAAATAGAATCATCAATGAGGTACAGAAAGGCCCTTGATGATGATATCAACAATGGTTGTAAAACCTTTTTTGAAACTTGTCAATTTACGGCTTTTACAGGTGAAGTTGTTCTTATGCATGATGTGGTTTATATTTCACAGCTGAATGATGTTTTTGTGGACATTCTTGGCTATGAGACATCGACCGTCACTGGATACAGGTTTGTTTGTTTTTGAGATTTGTTCATTTGTAACTTAATGTTACAGTTACTGTACTAGTAGCAAACTGTAATGTGCATTGCAACAAGTATATATGCCGTAAAGAAGGTTAACTTTGTCTTTAAACATCCCTTTATATTAATGTAATTTAAATTCTCTTATTGAATCCTAACTTATTCAAAGTATTCTGAAGTTGACATAAAATTTTCAATGAAATATTTTGTTCTAGTCAAGGCAGTGTGGTGGCAGCTTTCCAGTCAATAGTGGGAGAATCCGAGTCAGAATCAGCCCAGAAGGCCTTTACTGACAGCCTTACTGATAACCAGTTGGGAAGCTGGACTGTGGACAGCAGTAAGGCCAGCATTGGGGAAAATCCTTCTACTGGTGAGGCTCTGAACTGCAAAATATATGTACAGCTCTATTGAATGATGTATATGTATACGATGTGATGACACCTTATACTGTTAGGTTTGGTCTATGACATGTTTGTCATTGTTAGATTTGTGTTCACCTTTATGTTGATAATGGTAGATTTTTGTTGATTTTCAATTCCACTTTCCTTTCATACATTGATATAGGGGGAGACAATACAACCGTCATCATTATTGCAGCAGTGGTGTGTGGAGTTGTGCTTTTGGCTGCCATCGCTGTTGCAGTGGTGGTTGTCAGGAGACGGAAATCCGCAAGCAGTAAGTGTAAAAACATTTTGCATTGAAAATATGTGAGAAAGTCGTTTTTGACATTAATTGCTAGTTAACCATGCACGAATGATCTTGATGTTTCAGAAAAACGTGCGGAAAATCGTCCAAACAACATGGAGCTGGATAATGTGGTGAGTGAGTACCCCAATGCTTTTCGTCTTGGACAAAAATGTGTACTTCTCAAAATGTATTGCTAGATTGAAATGCTACTTATTAGCTCCTATTTCGAACCGAGTATTCATAGTTTGAATCAAAGCTGAGGGGTTTTCTTTTAAGTTTACATTTTACTTGTCAAACGTAACTAACATGGAATAAAACAATTTTTTGTAGCGAGGTGATGTGGACGACGGGTATCAAAGTGTCAAGATGCCTCATAGGCGAACAGTAAGAATAGCAATTTATTTTACTAAGTACTTAGTACGTGGTTCATATTAAAGTGCGTATGCACTGTATCAAGATTGTACTGTATCGACGTATGTAAAAATCGTGTAAATCTATATCAAATTTTAATTTGTACAAGTCTCACAAAAAATGATACATTTACACTTAGTCTCATGTGATGTTTCGCACAATGGTTGATGCTGGTTAATCAAAGGACTTGAAGCAGGTCTTACAAGAGCATTATAGAAGTAAGACAAAATTCTAAAATGGTCTCCACTTCAGAAAAGTTTCTGTTTTTCTATTTTTTTTAGTCTGATCACACATATCAGGGGCTGATGGCGATTAGAGGGAACGAGGTACTGTACTGTCTTCATGCCAAAAAACAGTTACTCAAGCAACTGGATATGATTTTGAAAACGTCAGACGTTTCAGCTAGTATCCACTAGCTTTCGTCAGTGACTGAGAGACCAGAGGGGAAAGCAGGTTTATATACACAACCTGTTGATTGATATGCAAATAAAGTGAAGACAAATTTTTGGAAGTCGAAAAAGGAACAAAAGTCAGACAAGTCAAGACAAGATGATGCAAATTAGTCTGAAAGCTCCTGTTATACAGGACAGGAGCTTAAGTGTTGTCTGTCCTCGGGACTGGGAGTGCCAAATCCCAAGTGCCGGAAAGATCGACCCGTAGCCCCCCTTCCCTGTTGAGGGTGGGGTTGTACATTCTTTCATATATTGCCTCTTTAACACCCCGTTCCCACCAGCGTGTTTCGCGGTCTAAGACATCCGTGGACTCGAGTTTGAAAGAGTGACCCTGGTTGTGTTGTAGGTGGTGGAAAATAGCTGAGGAGTAGCCGTTGGCACTAGGTCGGCAATGTTCTTTGTACCTTACTTTAAGCGGTCGACTTGTCTCTCCGATGTAGGTGTTGTTACAATTGGGCTCCTCACATTTGAGTCTGTAAATAACATTCACCTTGGTACCCTTGTGAGGTCGGTCCTTAGGGTGTACCAGTCTTTGTCTGAGGGTTGAGTGAGGTTTGAAGTTAGTGGCTATGTTGAAGTTTTGGAAGATCCGTCGGAGTTTCTCAGATACTCCTGGACATACGGAATAGTGATGTTGGCCTTGTTTTTGTTGGTCAAAGGTTTGCACTTCTGGGTTTTCTTAGACTGATCTGAAGGTTTGAGCGCTTTGTTGAAAGTCCAGTTTTGGTAGCCACATTTAGCCAGGGCACCTCGGAGGTGTCTATCTTTCCGGTCGATCTTTCCGGCACTTGGGATTTGGCACTCCCAGTCCCGAGGACAGACAACACTTAAGCTCCTGTCCTGTATAACAGGAGCTTTCAGACTAATTTGCATCATCTTGTCTTGACTTGTCTGACTTTTGTTCCTTTTTCGACTTCCAAAAATTTGTCTTCACTTTATTTGCATATCAATCAACAGGTTGTGTATATAAACCTGCTTTCCCCTCTGGTCTCTCAGTCACTGACGAAAGCTAGTGGATACTAGCTGAAACGTCTGACGTTTTCAAAATCATATCCAGTTGCTTGAGTAACTGTTTTTTGGCATGTCGTATTACCTGGATGTCTAACCTTCATCGATGTGCTGTCTTCAGTTTTTAGCAAATGATACTTTAAATGTTCTCATTTGTTGGAAAGTATATCCTTCAGGTTTTTAAAAGATAAATGTGATGCATTAATTATCATCATCACCATCCGTCGTCCCCGTTGGGCGGGGTAAGTTGCTGCACTACCGTACTCCACAGGGATCTGTCCGCCGTTGTTGATTTAAGATATTCTATGTCAAATCCCGTGTCTCTGGAGATGGTTCTTGGGTAGGTCAGTTTTCTAGAATAACTTTTCCCACTAGGCCTCCAGAGAATAAGTGACAAGATGATTTCTCCGCTCGCCCTGAAACAGTGACCTGGGAATCGGACACGTCTCTGCTTGAGCCTTCATTATACAAATGTGTTTCTCTGATATACCTATATAGCCAACATCCGATGGAGCGTATGAAGATCTGAAGGAACCGTCAGAGTTTGCCCGTAGCCAACTGAATATCAAAGAGGAACTTGGGCAAGGAGAGTTCGGGAGTGTTTTTAAGGCAGACGCCTGGAAAATATCAGGAAGCGCAGGTGTGACAACCGTGGCTGTCAAGGAACTGAAAGGTGCGAGGATAAAACTTTTTTGATAATTTAATAAAACATTACACATTTTGGTGCAATATCCATTCATTCACGCGCATTGCCTAATATCCCTTAGGTATGACAAGTCCAGCTGCTTCGACTGCATTCTTCAAGGAACTGGCAGTACTGAAGCTTCTTGGAACTCATCCAAATGTCGTGTCATTTCTTGGCTGCTGCACAGACACAGGTTAGTACACAACGTCCTCCTCAAGCTTTTTTACTGTTGCGAGTACGATGAATATACAGTGTTGATGCTATTTTTTTGGTAAGCAAATGTATCATGTTAAAATCTTTAGACAAAAACGATGCCATGAATTTTTATGGATATGTTTTGCTAGCCTGGTTACCAAACCTCTTATGGCTCATAAGTCTTACATTCTTTGCCGAGAGCATGAAACATTAGGACTCGGGAGGTGTTATAGGTTTGGTAACCAGGCTAATGCTTTCCAAGGTTTGCAGTATAACACAGTCGTCCTCTCATGTGTCCCCAGATCCGTTCTACCTGCTGCTTGAGTACGTGTCCGGAGGAAGTCTGCAGTCCACCCTCCGCACCAGCCGGACCCAGCAGACATACGGGAACTTACACGGCGGCAGCAAGTCCCTCTCCTCACGGGACCTCACCAGGTTCGCCTGGGACGTCGCCAAGGGGATGACCTTTCTCTCAGCAAAGAAGGTGAGTGAAAACCTGGCGTCACGACTCTACAAAGTTGACACATGCCAGAAATGATTTCATTTATTTATTGTCTGTGTGCTTTTATTGTTCAAAACACACAGCCAGGGCAGCCCAACTATGTGGCTATATTTTTATTACAAAGGGCTTACCCTGCTGAGAAGACAAAACATCAGATTAATATATGATATGAGCAGCTTTAGGTTTTTGATGATGTGATGGTCCAGAATTAGTGATTCCTTTGGTTAGATTGAAGTGGGCATGGCATTTGTTCAAACTTTAATACTTTTTGTTTTCTCTAGATTCTCCACCGTGATTTGGCGACTCGAAACGTTCTGGTTTCCAAAGACAAGACCTGTAAGGTGTCAGACTTCGGCTTCTCACGGGAGGGGGATGAGTACGAGAGGACCACCAAGGTATGTCCTTCAGTGGTGTTTATTTCATCCCCTTCCTTGTTTTGATAAAGAACAGAACTTACCAATAGACTGCATCGCTCTGTTCTAAATTTCTCAATGCTGAAGTAGTATTTGAATTCTGTACAAATCTACCTCAGACCCGTCTGCCTATCCGCTGGATGGCTCCCGAGTCGCTGTTCCACCGGAAGTACACTACCAAGACGGACGTCTGGGCCTTCGGAGTCCTGCTCTGGGAAATCGTCACTCTCGGTGGGTTTATTATATTATACTTTCCTCCCTGTGCAAAATCCTCAGGATGAGATTTGTTCCAAACCTATCTTTAAGTATTATGATATTAACGTTCTAGCTCTATCGTCTTATAAGCTGTTATGTGCCATAAAAATTACCTGAAACAGTTCCCTACTGATACATTGATGTTGGCAACTTGAGGTGTACAAAGGTACGTTGGAAATACTGTGGATTAAACCATTTTTTGTTTGTTTTCCAAACAGGTGCCACTCCGTACCCTGGGATGTCCAAACGCGAAGTTATGGACGGAGTTCAACAGGGATACAGGATGGAAAAGCCGCCACACTGTGACCAGAAACTGTGAGTTGAACTGCTTTTGATTCTGAACATATGTACACGAATTCTCATTTTTTCTAGAAGAAAACTCGATACACTTAGATAATAAATGATCTTCATAACGTAGAGTACAGCACTTGCCTTTAGTTACACAAAATATTTCTTCAGGCCAATGAATCTAGAATAATTATAAATGAGGTCTCTCAATTATGCATTGTTGATTAATATTTCATATCTTAATAATAACAGGAATCTAGGCTCCTGGATGCCATGGTTTATTAGTCAAGAAACTGGATAGACTTAATTAAATAACACATGAATGACTTTACAATAAGTCCTATACACCCGTTCCATGATCATTCTTATATGTCTTATACAAGGAGCAAGACTAACTGATACGAAGGAACTATATTTTCTACAGCTACACCCTGATGCTGAGCTGTTGGAATGCCGACCCCGCCCGGAGGCCAGAGTTCCGCAAGATTCAGCGGACCCTGGATACGCTTATGGAGACTGAACATGTGAGGAGATACAAAATTTTCTCATTCAATTTTATTTCAAATACAGAATTATATGTTTAGCCGACGCTTTTGACAAATAAACAGCCGTAATATGCTGGAGACCACAACTTTAGAGTGGAAACATGTCTTTCCTTTGATTTTTTTTACTCAGGACTACATCAATCTGGCAAGTCTGGACGAGAACACCTACCAAAGCCTGCAAACTGCAATGGACGAGAAATACTAAAACACATGAAGTAACAACAGGAGAGCCAGCATAGAGATATTCGTGTTTTGTTTGTTGTATCATCTGTAAACTTTGTCTGTTTTACTGGATGGTTAGTTGTTTTGTCATGAGTAGGATACCTTCTGGTATGTCCTGACACAAAACATGTGATTGAAGTAGAAACAAAGCACCGTCAATAGCAGATTGATGAGGATACTATAGCTTCAAAAATATTGTAGGAATTGTCTACGTTTTTTGACAAAATTTTTTAGTCTTTCATTATTGTTTTTGTAGTCTAGAGTTCACCAAAAACTATTTTAACCAGACATTTCAAACATTACGTTTATTCCGTATTTGAAAATTGAAAAAATGCACAACGTATCAAATTATAAGTTTATCACTTAGTCAACTCCAGTACACTGGTGGCTGTTGTCCTTGGTGCTGATGCGTTTCCCTTCCAGGACAGATGCTGTTTCAAAAGTGCCGGCTAGCGGTTTAAGCAAGTATGTGCAGGCTTTTCAAAAGCCATCATCAAGTCCAATAGGTGCCCTGAAATATTAGGACGCACAGCATGATGACTTAATGCTAAACTTAACATATTAAAATGGTTAACCATAATTTGGCACTTATTTCTTGCGCCCAACTCATATAGAGTACTCGGTGTTGACCATTGAATGTTTTATCGTGCTACTCTATAATACCAGAAAAGAAATCAGCAAACTTTCTAATTTTATATAATACAATGCAATTGATAAATATAAAGTAACAACCAATATATTCTAAGGCTTTAAAACATGTCTTTCCTAGTGTACATTAGGAAGCCCAGTCTGTATGGCCTATTGCTGCCCCCTAGCAGATTAGGTAAGAACAGCAGGCAGGGACGAGGAATACTACCTCAATCTTTAAGTCTGTTATCTTTTCAGTTAGAGACACGCATATAAATATAGGTGCATCACTTTCTTATCGTCAATAAAAGTTCGATGAAAATATATCTTCAAGTTTCATACAATGACATTTTAGTATCCCACATTTTAGTATCACATACATTTTTAGTGATCACACAATATCACACGATTTTACTATTACCAGTGATGGTCCCAGATTCCCGCGCGCGGGAAAACCTGTAACCCGATATTTTCTGTCATAAGTACATGCATCTGTTGTCGCCGTGTTTTGGCGGGAATTGATCTGCTAATCATCCAAAATCCAACACTATGATTGGTTCAATTGCCCTGTTTAAAACTAGCCTTGCGTTCTTATACATTAAAAATAAAATTGAAATACCTTTGAGTCGTTAAACTAGATAATTCTTTACTTCTTGGTGAAGGTAATAAATAAAACTTCATGTAAAGCGAATTACAGAATTGTATATATATATATTCAGTCATGCGTGATAGCTTAAAGTACTTGTTATCAGCCTTCAAACATATGACCCTCTATATTGACCTGTGGTTTCTTGAATTAAACGGCAGGAACGGTTTTAAAAATCACACATCAACATCTTAAACTGAAACTTTACTGCATACCCGACTTGTGAATTCATAGCCTCGTGATGACCCTTCCAAGCAGATTTTAGGGAGGCAAAAGACATGATCAAATTGGCCAAACAGTATTCATTCGCCAGAGAAGGTCCAATACGCCACCCAAGGATCTGCAAAAAGTCCCACTGGAGTGCCGTATGACCCCTTCTGGCGAATTCATGGATACTGCCTGGCCAATTTGATACTGTCTTTTACCACCCTAGGATCTGCTAGGAATATAGGGGTCATCACCTGGCCGCGAATTTACAACTTCGGTATCCAGGATAGCTGTAGTAATGTTTTATTTTAAAATGTCGATGTGTGATTATTTTTTGCCACTCTAGCATCTGCTTGGATATCAGGTGACCCAGACTGCTGACCACTGTGGTGTCTGGTTACACCTGCGGTGTCTGATTACAATTGTCCCGGGTCACTTCATGTGGGTCTGGTCCCTTTCAGATGCAAATCACCGGGTCACAACGGCTACAGGTTTGAACACTCAGCAGAATCTGGTGTCAGTTAAAACCCAAAAGCTCCATTTGTCGAGACGTCTTCACGTCAAGCACCTGTTGTGTAGTTACTGTACCAATTGTGTACTTAGTACTACGCGTTTATTTCACCGTAACCCGATCGTAGTTGACAGAAATTGTAGCTGCCCTGTGTTCCTGTGTTGGAAAGCATTGTCTGCACTCTGCAGTTTGTCTAGCCTAGCTTTGTTTTAAATCGTGCAAAAAAACCGCGTGCGTACAAGCCTGGCCGAGGCTAGCCCGACTGCAAGTTACGTGTTGGACTTTAAATCATCGGATGTGAACTCGTGCACAATTCTGCAGAACTGCGACAACAGCAACGGGCTTTTGTCAATGATCAACTAGAAATTATAGTGGCACCATCTGGACGTGAACTTTGCGCCTGTGAGAAAAAGGAGCAACCTCAACACCTGTTCTTGAAACTTTTTGGAGACTTATACTTGGGGCTTGTAACTGAGACTTTGAGACAAGATGATGAGACACCTGGCGTCTCTGCTTGTTCTTCTTCTGTTCTTCACTAAAGGTAAGAAAGAAAACATTGTCTTCAATGCGAGTAACAGGTGGCCATGTTACCTACATGCACTGTAGACAGTAGATGTTTTCCACAGTTGCAAATACTCCACCCCATAATTGCAAAATTACAGGAAATGATTGCTTTTTAAGTTAGTATCTAGGATTAACTTACCGCCGGGTGGTCAACCGCTGGACGTAGGCTTTGTTGATTCAGGGTAAAAAGGCGATTATGGTGCCTTTATGTTTGTCATTAGCGATAACAGGGGGGCAGGTGGCCATGTGTTAACCTGCTCTACGGGTATATTGTTGTTACGTCAGAAACTAACCGTCGGACTTCTCTCTGAACGTAAACCTTGTTGTAACTAAACTTTTGGGGGATAGCCATCTAAATATGGCACACATTTTGCAAACTTTTATCTTCTGCAGAAAAGTCAAGAACATAACTCGTGCGTGACAACAACTTCAGACGTACATATATACGCCAGGGTCGTTATTTAAACTGTATGGAGATTTGCAGAGTTAATTTATATAGTACAATTGAAGCTTTCAACATTTTATAGCTTGCTCTTTTCGTTTGCGGTCCGCTTGTGTGCACACTGTCTGGATATAAACACTCTGCAAATACTATCCAAACAGAGGTTAGGGTTTTGGCTAACTTTCGGCGTGTTTTTAGACTCAATTATCGGGATTTGTACTTTTGTACTGGAATTTTTTTGGGTCGGCGTAAAAAAAATACAGAAACCCCGATAAAAAAAGCCTAAAGCACGCCAAAATAAGCGAAAACCCAAACCTCTGCAAACACTCGACTGCACAGACCTGACCTAAACGCATGTTAGGTTAAACAGTAACAAGACCTCCTGTCGGGCTGTCGGCACCCCGGTGGGAGCTAATTTGAGACCACATCATTTTCCTCATTATGAGGTCGTCGTGGGAATAAGTTGTGAGTCAAGAAAAACCGGGGAAGAATATGAAAGACAAAGGCATACCCATGTATGTAGAAATCTAAATTGGCTGATTATTGAGTTTTAATTTCTTCTGATAGCTGACACAACCGGTTGGTATTTGCCTACACTGGTTACCACACTGGTTCTCCACAGGTTAGTTTAGAGGTGTTTTATCTGCCCCAGTCTTTAGGCATAGGCCTCTCTTGACATGCAAGAGCTTTCTAGTCGGTCTTCTAATTGTAGCCGTCCTGTAAACCAAGTAATTGAACAGCCCTGTAAAATACTAGTACTATTGATATTTCGGTAACCGTCTGCCACCTTCCTCGGTAGACTGAAACGCCGTTAGCTGGGTAAATCTCTTTTTGTTGGTGTAAAAAAAACACCAAACACAATGGTTTACAATCCTGATGAAACCATTCCGAAGTGTATTGACCTATTTGAAAATTTGAATAATAACGTTACACTTTAATTTTATCACGCAACAACTTACACCATCCATTACTATATAAAACACACTATGTGAGGAATCTACCTTCAAAACTATGTAGTAAGTCCTTTTTCATACAATAGTACAATATATATAGCGTCTATGATATGATCGTAAAAATGTCAGGTAGGCAGGGCCCACCTTCAATGGGTCAACCGCCGGTCACAGCATACCTTGGGGGCTGAACCGGTAAATATGCTTACATAGCGCCCGCCGGTGTTTTGGGTAACCAGTCAAGCACGACAAGTACGTTAGGATTGTGACAGTTCGCGGACTATTGTTACAGTAGTTCGTGACCTATTGTTGCAGTACTTGTAGCGACGAGAGGATAGCTTGTCAGGTACAATGGGTGGCCCGTGGCATATCCGTGGCCCCTGTTGTAAATGTCAGAAGTGGCAAGCATTTAGCTCTGAATATTTGGGGGAATTGCTGAAATAAGGTTAGGGTTACGTGAAAAAAATAGTCTATCAAAGACTATTTTTTTCACCAATGAGAACTAGGGAGATACACAGACCCATGCATGTATCGTAAATGCTTTTGTTTTCCGTTTTTAGTTCTATATTTTCTTTTAGCTTCTTTTGCAACAAGCGCACGATAATGCTACAAGTCAGACAATTTCACCTTTTGTGGTAACATGCCACATTCAAAACGGGCTTAAAATCATTTATCGAAAGTCAAATATAAAAAAAATATTGTACACAAGTTGTACTCATGGTACCTCGCACACATCATTTTTCAAATCTATACAAGCTACTTTTGACAGAATGTAAAAAAATTTAGAAGGTATTTTGACATTATGCATGCGCCTCAGTCTGTTCCTCTTTGTGACAGCTCTCGAGAGAGAGAACAGTCTGTCAGTGGTAGGGTAAATTAAAATCCAACACTGTTGTAGTTATTCTAACCTAAACACTCAGCTGTCATGCGGTGGAATTAAACAGTATGTTACTGTCAACGTAGGTAAACATCAATCTGTCCAATGTGCCAGTCTACACTGCAAAATGCTTCTCTCGTCAGTTAGATTATATACCCCCAGGCAAACTGGTTAAAAATACCTTTGGTTCGTCCCCATTTCTTGTCAGTAAACGTTTAATCCATATGATATTAATTGTATACGTTGTCTGTATTACCCACAAACTCGAAATAAAACCTCACTGCCTGTCTTTCTGTTCTGCGACTGTAGATACATCTGTTACAATTGGTTGCCAATTTTATGCAAATATTTTTGACGTTACATACAGTAATTTGTTGTTGCCATACTCTGTACGATGTGCATTTGTCGTGCAATAAATTTATTCTGTAAATATTGTAAAGGAACTGTTAACGTTTAATAACCTAAAATAAGTTTGTTTACGTTCAATTCTTACCCCACAGCTCTGGCCCAGCTGTCTGTACAAAGCCCGCAGCCCAGCGTCCAGGTGCCCCTCGGTCAGACGGCCGTCCTCCCGTGTACCTACACACTAGGCGGCGGCGGTGGCACCATCAGGGAGTTCAAATGGTACGAGAGAACTATGAGCGGGGACAGGGTACCCGTATTATTCTACTTCAGCGACATTCAACAGGTAAGCAAACTTGTGAAGCAATAAATCAATCAATAAAAATTCTGTGAATTATCTAGTTTAACGACACAAAAGTATTAGTATTTTTATGCCATTTTCAATGTGTAAAGAACGCCAGAAGTTACAAAATCAGCGCTGGGTGATTGAATCAGCATTTTGCATCTTGGATGATTGGCAGATCAATATTCCCGCCAAAACACGGCGACAACAGATGCACGAAGTTATGACAGAAAGTATCGGGTTACAGGTTTTCCCGCGCGCGGGAATCTGAGACCATCACTGGTAACTGATACCTTCAAACAACTATAAACACTGACTCAAGCTAAACTGTTACAGGGAGTTACTATTGCATGTTCGTTCGTTCTTGGAACTAATTTCTAACATCATTGATTTGTGCATGATTTCGTCACCTCCATGCATGTCAAATTACACCTTGCAAAATTTTTTACTTTTATTACATGATACAGCGTGCAATTTTTACAGCATTTATTGTAAACTACTCGACCCTTCTGTGGTGTTCAAACAGGAAACAACGTTAACCTTTAACAGCTACAAGAACAGGGCGACTGGGGACACTTCGATTGGTTGATACACGTTTCTCAGACCGTTACTGGCGCCCAGTTACTTTTACAGTTATTTGTACAACATTCATTGCATGTTATCCGAATAATATGTAATCTCTACACAGGAAACAACCTTTAACGGGTACAAGAACAGGGCTTCTTTAGTGACTGCCGACGCGAGTACCGCCTCCCTGCGACTGAATGATACCCGGTTTTCTGATAACGGACAGTTTGAGTGCCTGGTCGGGGCCTTGGTGGGGTCTGTACCGCAGGAGAGCACAACCAACATTGATCTCACTGTACTCGGTAAGTCTTAATTTTATTTTATTAATAAGCTACTTGACTTACTTTTGTCTTGCTCGGTGTAAAATTTCGATATGAAATCAATGAATTAGTTATAAGTTTTTTCTACGCTTACGTGTTGAAAATGTTACAACGTGTTTCAGTTATAAGGTATCTCTTTGTCAACAAGGTGACAATACCTTTGCTCTAATTTGGAACATTTTGAACATTTACAAACTTCAGTCTGCAAGCCTAATAATTTTTGGACACAAGGATCAGGGCTTTCACTCTAAACTTGTTTCCAATCACTTTTTCCTCAATTTTTCTCGAGAAATACCGAGTTTTCGCATGGTCGGATCAACTTATATATATTTCTTTAAAAAGTTTAATGGTTTCAATGTTTTTTAACGCACACATTCTTTTCCTCCAGTCGCCCCGAACGCACCAAAGATCACCGGCGACTACAACGAAGCCAGCGGACACCTGAACCTAACCTGCACGGCGCGGCACGGCTACCCCGCGGCCAACCTGACCTGGTACCGGGACGGGGCAGCAGTCCCGGCGGGGAGGGTCGCCGTCTCGCCCGACCAGCAGGGCTACCAGGACGCGAGGCTCAGCGTCAATTTTACGGTCTCGGCCAACAGCTCGGGAGCGGGGACGGTCATCTACAGGTGTGATGCCAGCCACCCGGCGTTAACTACCGCCTTGCAAGCGTCAGGGAAACTAGGTAATTACTTTTATATAAAGTTCTTTATACTCTATTAAATTTCTAAATTGCGCAAGTTTTGTACATATTTGTGTATATAAAATTACGCGTGTGTGTGTGTGTGTGTGTGTGTGTGTGTGTGTGTGGCTGAATACCTTTTATCTATTCATTACTAGCTAAACAACAAAATGAATAGACATATTACATGTTTATAACTAGATAATTGGTACACGTTTGGCATTATAAAACAGATAATCCACTCATACGTTTTTACAAAAAATTACTTCTTGTAATATAAGTTATTCTTGTTTTATAGATAACGTTTCATAATATAGCCACAAATGTGTATGCCAGTATATTATGCCATATAGATTTTTTTACTATATTTCCTTACTTTTTGTATTTTCATATGGTGTTAATATGTGCCATATCCCTGAAGAAAAAAATTAAAAGAAACATTGTCATAAAGTCAAAAGTAGGAAATGACTGACGTAAAATATTTAGATACCAAATCTATACTAAGTAAAATTTTCCTTTTTTATAGGACCTCCAATTGTCAGAAACATCACCACATCGCCGGCCAACGTCGACAATCTCATGGCGTTCGATGACGTCACCCTGACATGCGCAATAGAAGGCGGGCTCGTCCTGGAGCCGACCTGGCGCTGGACTAGGGAGGGTGGGTCTCTTCCAGACGGCGCGGTGGCTGACGGGAACAAACTGAAGATTGTCTTTGCCTCTCCAAAAGACGGAGGAACTTACATCTGTACAGCTTCTAACGTCTTGGGGTCGAGTGGTGCCAAGAAAAGATTGCAGTTTAAGGGTGAGTTTTATATCATAATAAGATGTTGCTCTCTCCTGACTCACTCACTCACTCACTCACTCTCTCACTCATTCATTCACTCTCTCAATCTCTAACCCACTCACTCATTACTCACTCACTCATTCACTCATGTTGTTATCAGGGTCATTACACATTTATTTGTTGAAAACGTTATAATTTTTTTTTCATTATTCCAGAGCGACCGCTTATAAGAGAGCCACAGAAACAAGAGGCAACAGGTAAGTTCTATGTTTCGTCATGTGTTTCGATGCATATGCAATGCTTTGAAATACTTAATCATTCTTAACAAAAGAAATAAAAAATGTCATTAATTATCAAAATATATATGAATGTGGAAATGACAGAAAATTTTAAATTTGAATTTAAATTAGAATCATTGATAAGAAGGTATAAGAAATATTGTCTACATCTAGGTCTTCCCGGTGAGTACACGCTGCTGATTGTCCTGGGTGTGTTTGCCGTGCTTGGAGCGTTTGGCGGAGCCGCATACTACGTCCGCAAGAGGAGGGACAGCAAGGACGAAGAAGGTAAGAGTTCACAAAATAAAGCTCTGTTATCTTTAGAACTAATGATACTGGTCGTTCAACAAAAGCCGTCGAAGGGTAGGGGAGCCTTGAAAAAGTCTGATCAGATTCAGGCTATTGGAGACTTTTTTGCACACACCTAGCGGCCCAGGCAAGAACTCCAGTCTTGAGAAATGCAGCAGAAAGATTTTCAGAACATTGGTGAGCAGTGTAACAAGAAAACTTCTGTATTCTCCTGCCTTATCAACATAGCCAGATTATGTAGACAGAAACAACATATACTGTATGACTGTAGAGATATTGCAACAACAGTTAAGTATTGATATAACAAGAAAGTTTTAATTTTACGAATGAAAGATGACAACTTTTTTTACAGCACCTCCCGATGCAGAAGGGCCAAAGGAGGTCGTGGGTCCGCGTGGTCTAGAAAAAGGTAAGCGACTGTTTCCCCCTACCTCTGTCTTCATGCAGTGGTTATGCTATCTTTTTAAGCTTTCTGTTATTGACTATCGTTGTTATTGGTAGCTTGTATAATAATTCCAATATATCAAATATGAAGAAGTGTTAACAGATCTTGTATCAAGCTTTGTATTTAATGAAGTATTAGGATAAAAAATTGTCATGTCTTGACATTAAATTATATCAATGAATTTTTCTTCAGAAGTACCTGTGGTTCCCGTGCCCCGCGAGAGACCACCACGTCCAATCCAAAACGGTACGTTCTTGTTGCAATAAAAATACTCGGTTCAAACTTCGGTTTCTACTTGCAACGTTTTGTTATGTTATCAAGAAACAAAAAATAGAGAGAAAAAAACGGTGTGTACATTTAGATATGTAATATTTCAATTTTTGTTTCTTTAGAACCTACAGCTCCACCAAATCACCAGGGGAGACCGTCGCCTAGCAACCGAGCAGGTAATGAACTATCGCATATTTCTATGTTTGATGATTTAATGCCTTAGTGTTGAGGCCAGCAGCGACTGGGCCTTGGTTCTCTCCATAAGATACTTCCAAGTAGCACAGTCTTCTATTTCTTTCAAATTTTATCCTGCGTCTTTTACATTTTTATCTTTTTAAGCACTTGTGAAGTTTTCCCTGGGTTTTTAGCTTGCTAGATCTAATGGCTTCGACAATGGGTCGTCTGCAGTGAATTAATTTTAACGATAATAGTCCTCCGATGTTAGCTAAAAGGCAGAGAAGATAATTATGAAGATATGTAAGCTGGTCTGACCTTTACTTCTTGTATCCACAGGGGTGACCTTCGATGACCGAGAAAGAGGCTACGACAATCCGATCTCCAGTGCAGATGAACTGACTGTATAATTTTGACGATTTTGAACACGTTTTTATTGTGAAAAAAAAATCACGTTGAGACACCCAATCTGCACTAAGAGTAGACTTTTTTTCTAAATTTGATTTTGTTGTATAAAGACATACAGCCTGGGCTACCTATCTAGTCAAACGCTATTGCAGGGCTAGCTCTAGCGACTGACGAATGTATAATATGCAATACTAGCGGTAACAAGCCACATATAAAGGCATTGACATGCAAAGCAAATTGTATTGGAAAAGGTGGTATATATAGGGTATGCTTCTAAGTTTGGTGTGCTGTTAAAACTGCAGGCTTAGTGCTAGGATACAATAGAAATAGATTTAGCTCAAGATTGTAATGTTATAACTCTATTTCACTTCTGATACGGTTGATCATGAACTGTAAGATTACAAGGGAAAATCTTTCATTAAAGAGATTTAGCAAAGAAACGTTTTGGATTGTTTTTTTTTTTTCAAATAAAAGTCCGAAATCTTTAACACATGAATCATGCATGTTCAAATTGATGGCCTGCAGTACAAGCACATTCTGCTAGATGCCGCTTGTGATTGGTGCAGACCAATTTCATGTGAGCAGGCAGTGGACCTAACTCTTTAACCCTCAACAGTACACCTTCCCGGACTGATTAATCTGTACACCTGGGGTCCGCGCGGACCCCAGAGCAGTTTTTTGCTAATTTTTAGAAATTATCAACATGCTACCAGCTCAATTGTTTTGCAAACTGATGTGGGAACCTCTGTGTCCACATTACATACAAAAATCATACATTTTGAACTTTTTCTATTTTTTGGTGAAGAAAAGAAGACAAGAAGAAATACCCGATTTTTAAACCATTTCAGACTGAAGGGGCTTTTGAGGCCCAACTTTGATCTCAGATAGCGGCTAAACGGCTTGCGCTAGAAGTATCAAATTTGGAGACCTTTCCTAAAATGTCTCTGGAAAAAAGTTCATATTAGTTTTATACTAGTAAGTTGATATTTTTTTGTGTTGCCATGGCAACGGGTAGTTTTTTTGAAAATAGAAGTAATTTTGGTTTAAACATAAAAATTTTCTGAGTTTTATATAAAATTACACTTCTTTTCCAACATTAATAACATCTTACATAATTAAATATAAGTTAAATCATTTAATATACATAGAATATGCTAATTTGATGACGTCATTGGTCAAAATCCAATATGGCGGACTATATTATTAGCTCTGACGTCATATGACGTCATAATTACACCAAAGTTATCAAAATTTAATTCTATTACTACACCATTCTCTGAAAACTTAGTAGACATACGATGAATGCATAAAAACATATAAAAACGGAAATAAGGTAATGTATAAGAACGCCATTATGATCGAAAGCCGGCTGGGGTCCGCGCGGACCCCAAAAGAAAATCAGATATAATTTTTTTTATAAATGGTAGAAACGGAGTTTTCTGCACTGTATTGAGAGACAACTTTGTGGGTGACAATTACCTAAAATTTCAGAAAAAAATCTTTAGAAACAAAAAAGATATTACAGAATATATAGTGCTGGGGTCCGCGCGGACCCCAGGTGTACTGTTTAGGGTTAAAGGGTAGGTCGAAAGGCACAATGTAAGAAATAAAATGACATATACAATTTTGAAAGTGCCGTTGTTTTAATCAGACTTTTACTTTGTATATGACAACATCTATGGGGGAAACTGTTCTCTTAATAATGAAAGCGATAAATTTTAAACTACATTGATGTCTGGAAGCAACGCGAAGACAGTGACTTGCCACTTAGTTGATAAATGATCCTGCTGTTTACTGTAAAATTGGAAACATCGACTTTCCAGTTTAGCTGCGGCGAGACCATCCTTCAGAGAGACGTGAGTGCTCAGGTGGACAGTCTCCCGTCTTACGGTCGGCCTGGACTCAAGGAAGCGTCTTACTTCACATTTATCAAGACTGTCATTTGGTTGAAGAAGGGAGGTAAGACGTGCAGGGCATAAGTAGGCAATCTTTGGTAGTAAGGAAGAGAATAAAAGGGGCTGGCTACTTCCAGGCGCGACAGTTAAGACTTAGCAAAGCCGGGGGGCGGTATAGACTTCAGGGAACTTTGCTGACGTCATTTGCTGACGTCATTACTCAAAAGGTCACGTGCTTTTAAGTGATGAGCTCTTTGAACCAGAAGAAGACTGCAGTGTGAAAAGAAGAAGTTAAGGTGAGTTTTGTTGTGTTGTGTTGTGTTGTGTTGTGTTGGAACGTCTTATTGTTGTTTGCAATATTGACTTTGCCCTCTTGCATACTAGAGCAACCAAAGTTGGATTTCGTTAATTTTATATGATTAACATGAAAAGGATATGGTGTTTAAAGACAAGAAAAGAATTTAAACTTGAAGGATTTCTTTGTCTATTGAATTCGTTGAGCGACGTGTAAAACATTTGGTCGTTCAATCCTAGCCTCTGGTATAAAGGAGGTGTAAAGGGTTTCAAACCTATGGAGTAATAATATATTCTGTAGTGTTGTATACAGTGCCTCTTAGCCACGTATAAAATAATTACTAAGTAACCATCTCTTGCATGATTTCAAAATAGTTCATTTTTCAAATCATATAATTACCTGATTTTGCTTTTAACCTTTCCTTTACCAGAAAATGCAGGAACTATGCGACTCTAATTGCGATTTGCCTACCAATCATGCATTATATAATTATCATGCATTACACATAAGCGGAATGACGGCCCCTAATAGCTGTTATTAACCACTAATAACAACCATATAACTGCGAACAAACTACCATATAAAATGTAATGAGTCTCCATTTAATAAGGCAATTACATTATTTGCTTGGCATTTGAGTAAAGCACAAAACACCCGCTTGTGCTGTCTGTTCACTTTGGTAATACAGAGGATCAGTTCATTTATTGTACGTGGTAATTAGAAGAAGAATTACATAGCTTAATCGTACACTAATGGCTGACATTACGACTAATTAGAATTGCTCATTAAAGGTTATAATTTGTAATTAAAATTGTCATAACTGTGCAAGAGACATCAACTGTAATTTTATTCTATTCCTTTGACTTGGTTTCCTCTGTAAGTCATTTAAAAAATGTCAGCCAAATCTTAATGAAACTCATCACTCATCAACAAGAAATATGGCGAGAAAAATTACTTTGATTTTACTTATTTTACCGTAACAATTTTTAACATAGAAATGTAATTCTAAGGCCCCCCTCAAAGAAAATAAAACCTCCGTGTTTTTTTCAATCACTTTGCTCCATTACTTCTTTGCTACTCTAGGTTAGTGCCTCTAACTATAGGCTTGTGACGACTTAAGTATTTTACTGGTAACTGCATCTGAAGCGAAAAAAAATGAAACCTTGGTAAATTCATTCATCATTTTGATCTATTACTCCACCAACGTGACGTTTCGGACCGTCGAGTAACCACAAAGAAAACATCACTCATCTCCTACTGATGTATTACTTTTACTCGCCTTGTTTTTAATACAATCCGATCTCCGTTAAACCAGGAGAGATATATGAAATTGGACACGGTACCTGAGACCAGGTAATAGATAAAATGGATGTCTTAT